CTTTGGCCCTTGAGGGTCTTATGACTACTATTACATACAAAACCTGTCAAGATCTTCTGGGTTACATGACCTGCATTTATTATCTACTTTCTTCAGCCAATACTTTAAATGTTCTGCTGGAGCCACGACTATAATTAAGAACACTGATTGTTATGCTTTCTTAAGACATTGAGTTTGAAGCATTCTTTATATTATTATCCCTTGATAATGGTAATCCCATAGTCCCTTAGCAAACAAGCCTGAGCTTCATAATAACTGGAATTTGGAAGATATCTGCTCCGGAGCTTTATTTTCTTGATGTCATTTGAAACGGGGTCTTCATGAGCAGAGTGATCTGATACAATTGATACTATGTGTTCAGTTTTCCATTGGACTGGAGCTTAGAGTCTTCAGTAAAGAAAAACAAAAATGGAAGCTCCTCCATTCTCGGATTCCAACACATAAAAGTTTGTTGGGTTTTGCAATGTTAGTTAAATACACTTTATGTTTCCTAAGCAGTACATAAGATGAGGCTGCCATTTTAAAAACCGTGAACTGTGAAGACCAGGACAAAAGTCTAAAAGAAGTGTACAATACATGTATTGGAAAGAATTGGAAAGCATCTATAAATAAAACAATAATACATATTTAAATGTTGCAAATATTTTCAGAAAATATAAAAACACACATTAAGTAATTTTTATAGACATTCTAATTCTCTGCAATAAAACACAATTCTACAATAAAATGTACAGTGAAATACATTTTTGTTGTTTGAAGAGTTTTTTCCAACCATACAACAGATAAGAGTAACAAAGAAATAGGTGTAGTTTACATATTACAGATACTTAAACATCTTAAACTATTTTCTGAAAAAAAGACAAAAAGGGCTTGGGACATAGGGACATTATTAAATATAAACAAGTTCCAATGTTTCTAAATTACAGCAGTGGAATAAATCCTGTAGCCTAGGTGATGGGCACTTGAACTATGGAATTGCACTCCACATTGTCCTCTTCAAGCATGAAAACTAAAGGACTGTATGTTTTGCTTTCTAAATTGAAACTGTTATAGACTTTAAAAAAACTGTTATCAGTGGAAAATTCCAACATTTACACTTATGTGACAGTATATGGCAGTGAAATCATATACAATTCTTTAAAAAAAATGTATTAAAAAATTGTTTATGCTTTCTTGCCTCCTATACATTTTTGTTTTCAGTATATCATGTATTATAGGAACTGATAAAACATGAAACTTATAATCCCAGTGAGGAGATAATATTCCTCATACCAGATTCCTGCTACAGTTAAACAAAATTGTGCATGCAGTCTACATTACAGTATGATTCATAGAACAAAAGGATAGTGTTATCTGGTATTGAAAAATGACATACTAGAGAATTGCTTGTACATATGCCATATTTTTTAATATTAATTATCTGAACTAAAGGCTTGCTGTGAAGTGTAGGGAAATGCATTGAATTCATTTGAAAAAATTCCCCCACAGACACTAAACATACTGTAAATATACTATTCTTCTCTGTTTGATTTGCAGAAGCATAACCATGCTTTGTGTCTGACTTCTCTGTTGTATGTTAAATAATATACTGTATATTGGAGGACAGCAGTTTGAGAAGAGATCTAAAGAGACCATAACTGAAAAAAGTTAATTTCAAGCCAAAGTCTCATTAGCATAGAGTTCAGATAAAGTATAGCTTACTAGTTTACATCTACGGTATGTACAGGTATGTGCACTCTAGCAATTTATTTGGGTACCTTTCAAAGTTAAGTATATTCCTGCACTGATTCAGGTCATGTGATTATTATAAATGGTCATGACTAAGATGAGCAATGTCAAAGATACCATCACTCTCTCAGCTGGCAATTAACAGGTCATTAATGAAAATAATTAGACCATATATTATTTTGGATGGATGTAATAAATTTTTCTGTCAAGGAAATTAATTTCTCCTAAAGGCAGCATACATATTATTCATTAAATTATTTTCTAGCACTGGGAGCATGTTTTCCCTTTTTAAAAATGTTAGGTAAACTATGGATGGAATGGTTTATGAAAATATAAAGGCTTATCATAGAATGATAAACTGCATTTAATATTACTTCTTAAAGAAACATTTTACATGCCAACAGTGTACACCCTTAAGCCATTGTGGTAATACAGTATGTACAGTATATTGACAGCCTGTGTCTAAACCAGCAGTTCAATTGCCAATAGCAACAGCCAGACACCCACAATATGTACAGTACTGCAGTAGTGAAACAGCAGCTTGATGATACTGTACTTCATTTACTACATGGGTTACAGTTATGTAAATATCTTTTATCTCCAAAATATTTTTTCTTTAACTGTTTCTGACACATCAGGAAACTCCAATCCAAAAAATGTTTAAAGTATTTACATTTTTATTGTTTTATTTCCTGTATTTCGTCACTAGAAATATTTTTAGTTCAAATTTTACAGTAGAGAGATTTATGATTTTTATATGTCGTTGACATTTTTGTTGCCCTGTAAATTTTTTCATTAAAACTTGCCTCTATAAACTTCTGTTTGTGCAAAGGCCTTTTAGAGCATCTTTGTTTATAACTCCGATAAGACATTCTTACAGTACTTGTTATTATGTCAGTGGTGGTTTTGCTGATGCAAACAATGTGGCAGACCTGATTTATTGGTGTTCAAACCACATTTTTAAGATCACAGGTGATAAATATTTGTTTTCTCTCACGTCCCTAAATACCATACCGGTACATATTTTGATGTTGCTAGGAGACAGCGGATAGCAATATCAAAATAAATGGCCTTGCTTGGAAAGACAAATGCTGGCTGATTTTTCAAAGCTGTGCATTGAACTTTATTTTAGTGCTTTAAAATGATAAAAAATGTTATCTACATAAGTGGAAACACAACTAAAATAGTCAGAGTAAAGTCTTAAATTGACTTACTGTACATTTTAAAGCCATAAGCTATTATATTTTATGGAACAAGTAAAGATTTATTCCATGCTGGAAACAGAAGAAAAGAAACACAATGTTTTGACTTTGGAGTGTGACACTCCCCCGAAGAAGGCACCAACAGCTGAAACGTGTTTCTTTTCTTCTCTTTTCAGCATGGAATAAACCTTTACTTCTTCCTTTGCAGCCTACGCATGCTGACGCAGCTAC